GACTGCATTAAGTCCTTTGAAGGTAGGTTGGATTAGGTAAGTTAAAATTTAGGTTTATAATGTATCGAGTTGTTAGTTTATGTTGCCTGCAGACTGTTTTTGTAAAATTAAAATCCAGAAAAAAACACTTCAAATTACTATTTCAAAAATGCAAGCATTTTTGAAAAAGTTATTTGAAGTGTTTTTCTCAGTGTTTTCCTATCACCCTGACATGCCTTTTCTGGCATCAAAATAAGGAGTTTGCTTACACATTCTAGAGGTTTGGTTAGGTTAGGTTATGTTAGAATAGCACCATTTTATTATGTAATTTCTAAACGGCGAAATATAAATCAATAAATCATTAATAAGGATAAAATACTTGTAACAATAATACATTATTAACTTATCGGTCTTAGAAAGTGAAAAGTGTAACTTAATCAGGTGATTTTCATATTGCAGAATCAGAATTAGCTAATTAAAGTTGTCACTTCCATTTGCTTGACTATGATTGAAAACAATCAGCTGTTGGTTTACTTAACCCATAGTTCATTCAACTTGTAAATGTCATCCATCCTACCTTGTTTATTGTAATGTTGTATATTATTACGGCGATATCTTGAGAAATATTCATCAGCTGTGAAAACTAATGGTATATTTGGATTCAGGAGATAAAAAACTATAAAGTAAGATATCACAATTAAAAATTCGTTTAGAGGCACCTATACGGAATAACTACCTACATGGCCTACCTTAAGAAATAAAATTTAGGCCTCGGGTACGATACGAGCGGCGAGCGGCAAGCGGCGAGCGGCAACCTGAGCGGCACGTAAGCGGCGGTGGTGGCTACGATACAAGCGGCACAATTATAACGCTCATCAAGTTTCCCAAGTTTTATGAGTCAGTTTAGTATAAAATTGTAAACTATGCTTACCTGCAAGGCGTATTGAAACTTTTGTTGCTATCTGACAATTGTTTGCCTTTAAAGAAAAACTTAGTTTTTAGAAAAACCTTAACCCTAATTTTTCTCATACTTTTCCGGTGACTGAAGTGTTTTAAAACTTCCGTGCTAGTCATTACACAAACATTCCCTGGACTGCACCTCACGTATCGACCAGTATCGCATGTTTTCTGCTGTTTCCCTGTCATTTTAGGCCGAACTGAAGCATGACTCACCTGAGCGGCGAGCGGCGTTTACGCGAAAATCGGTTTTGACTTGGAACCACGAGCGGTGCCGCTTACCGCCGCTCGCCGCTCAGGCGTATCGTGGCCACCCTCAGCAAATTTACACGCAACTAAATGAGACCCGATGTCAGAGCGGCGTCGCTCATGCCTCTCACCGCTCACCGCTCGCCGCTCGCCGCTCGGCGCTCGTATCGTACCGTGGGCCATGTCCAAAAACCCAACATAGAGTGTTTTGATCAATCTATCACAGACTACTCACTAAAAAAACCCCTCTACTCTGTTCGACACAGATCTGGAATTGTTTGTCAAATTACTTTAAGCCTCCAGGCGGGGGGGGGGGGGGGGAGGGGGGGGGTATGTTCCAGAAAAAACCGTGACCCTTCATGATTTACCAATCATTGTTTAGAGAATTATTAAATAACAAAAAGTTGTTTGGATAAGGTTGTTTTTTTTTTTCAAACTTACACCGATAAGTTTACATTAAACGTTGTTTACAAAAAACACAATTAATGTGAAATTACTTTGATTTCCAATAACTTTTTACGAGAAAATCCAAAACCAAGAGATCAATAACCTCGGGACTTGATTAATGCATTTAATTGGTCGGATGTAGGCCTACTATAGTTCGTAACTGTAAACGTTGGTTTTTGGTACTGGTTTTTTCCCTTAGAACCGTTGGTAGCTGCAAGAATAATTTTTACGTACCAACACAACACTGTAATTACAAATTAGTTATCGTTGGTGTTGCACCTTATTTATTACAGCCGTATTCAATTTAATTTATGTCTTTACTGTATAAGTTTCGCTTTTTCTGTTTGGATTCCAAAATCTTAGTTTATGCTAAGAAAATGATAACGCATTTGAGTAAATTATTTGTTGAGCAAACCATCATGAACTTACGCTTATTTACGTTGCTTATGTATCAATAGTTCGTGGCCTATCAAAAGGATGTACATTTTTGTACTTCCAAAAATGCAACAGAATAGTAATGTCAAATGTGTTTTTTTTTTTAATATCCACTAATCTGTAAGTTTGTTGAATAGTGGAATGTTTTTTGCGGAAGCCTATCTAATAATTGGGTACTAAATAAATTTAATTCATCTAAAGTGGAGGTTAACCTTTTGAGTATTACCATTTCAAACAATTTGGATAGTATAGGAAGCAAGCTTATGGGTCTGTAAGAATGACGCATCGTCATTAGGTGGGTTACCTGATTTCGTGATAACAACTCTTTGTGCAATTTTCAGTTGAACATGACAATATTCCAATCTAACATAGTATGAAATATGAATGTTAACAACAGAATATCTTTTCGGGTCAGTTCTCTCAGATTTTTTCCAGTGATGAGATCATATCTTGGACTTTTCTTGGTGTTAATGACTAATTTCATATACATTATGTTCATTCTTTTCTGCTATAACTTATTTGTGAAGATTAAATATCACATATTTTACTATTGTTAAAGAATAGTAAATAAACAATTGAAGAATTAATAATGTTAAGCTCTATGTACATTTCGCCACGAGTGTGGCATCCTCAGGAGCTGTGTCTGGCAACCACAAGGTAAACAACATCTATCTTTCTATATCTATATATATATATAATCTATATATATACATATATGATTATATAATAGTTGTATAATACGCTAAGCCAATTTTTGTAAACAGAACTCCTCCCACATTTTTGGACCGATTTTGATGATTAAAATGTGAAAACAATGGCCCTGGTCTGTAGTTTTGCAAAGTGTTTTTCGTTTTTTGATATCTTTATTAGTTTGGGCAGGATCTTCCATCAAAGTTGGGTTTTCTCCCATAAGATTAACATGGGGGAATCTAAATATTTAATTAGAAACTTCGTCTCCACTAATTTGAGAGAACGGCTGGGCGTAGAAACTTAATAGCGGTGTCCAAAGAAAGATCTTGATCTGTAGATGAGTTATCAAAAGATAAACGAAGTAAATTCGCTTAGGGCTCTGCCCCAGAAGCCATTAAAGATCCCTCGACAGCTTTGTTTACATTTTGGCCATATAATACTTTTTAATGAAACAGCTGTTAATTTTTAAATTGTGTTTTAAACAACACACATTTATTGGGAGTTACTGAGTTGTCCAGAAGAAGTATTTGCAATGTTATTTTCTGATTTTAAAATTGATTTTCTTCTGTATCATGTCATATTTTGCAATATAACGTTTCATTACGAAATCAGTGGAAATTCCTTTTATCACATAACTCTTACAATAATTTCTTATTGAACTATCTAATATCTGTTGTACGGGTTGTTGTCTGCCTTTTTCACCACTTTTGCCTATATTTTATCATATTATTCTACAGATCATCATAGGTTCATGAGATTATTGCCATACATATTTCCAATCATTGGAAAAATTGTCGAATGTGTAATACAATATAAAATAATACAAGTGCAGAAGGGCACGTTGTCCATTTGAGCCGTGTCCATATTTTGTTAAATTAATCTATTTTATTTTATTTTGTTAAATCAGTTGTTTACAGCAACTGGATAAAACATTTTACAATATTTATATAGAAATATGCGCACGATTTAGAAAGGCTGTAAATCTGCAATTTACTACAGATTTTTCAGAGAGGTTGCTATAAAGTATTCATTCACCATAGTGGACACATAATATATAACACATAGATATGTATACAAATAAGAATTTGAACTCTTAGAGAGCCTTTTAATGTTATTAGAATAACGAAATGGGTTGTACATGTTTACTAGCGCTACTCAGCAACAAAAACCATTTAATTTATCTCTAAAATATATATTCTTAAAGTGCACTGAGCAGCAGCCTAAAAAATACTATGTAACTTACCCATATAGTTACAAAATGCTTGAACTCACATTGTAACATTTATTATTCGGCTTATATTTCTTCATCAGATTATTTATCTGCAGAAGAAGTTTATTGTGTTCTTATCATGTCTAATAACATCCGAAGACAGTAACCTTGTCTAAAATGGTACCTATCTTGAGAAATTATTTGCAGTATCCTATATTACGGACCGCGGTCCACTGGGTTGTTAACATGATTGAAAATAACACGACATTTCGGCTATAAAAAAGGCATAAAGAGTAAATACTATTTAAGCAGGTACTTAAAGTATATTCCACTTAACCTAACTTTCCGTAGACGAATTAGCGTAAGCCTTGAGAGTAACCGTCGATTTCGACGGGTTTCACCTATAGTAATTAATTATTTGTTCTTGAATCTGGGAATACCAAGTAAATAAACAGTTATGAAATGTTGTACTTAAATTGACTAAATTCTTATTTTGACTTTGATAATTGACAATTTAATATTTGGGCTTAATTTCTTTGAAAATTATTCTTGAAAAATCTGAACCTGAAGGAGTGCAAGAGTTGATTGGTGGCAATAACGGATTCGGTGCATCAAAAAATTCTGAAATTCACCTCCATCATTGCGGGGATTCGGAGGAATAGGCTCGAATACAAAAGAAAAGTAATCTCCAAAAACCTTTGCATTTTCTTCAAAATTTTCAACCCAAGTATATAATCTTGAGAATTTTAACAATAGAGTACGAATAATAGCTTAGTTATTTGCACTATCTGAAGTCAATGATAAAATAAAAGAACGCAACAAGGTTATTTATTCACCCAGCATTTGATTTTACCTTAATAACCACTTACTTCTTGAGGATAACTAATGCTAATACCAATTTTAGAATAACATGTGTTAGTATTGATTTTCAAATATGATATTTTATAAAATTTACAAACAGTATCAGACTGTTTATATTTAAAGTTTGCTTACCTCCCTTAGAAAGTAAACAAGTTGGGAGTGAATGGAAGAATTGCGAGTTTACTTCCTGTACCCTAAAACAGCAGAATAAAATTAAATGGAAAGAAAAGACAGTCAGAAAGTTAACTTGCTCTTATCCAAGAGAAGCCATTCCTACCTCCTGAGTAGAGGAAACAAAACAAGTAAGAATGTGACAAACCGAAGTGTGAAGAGACCTATTAATAGCAACAGATTAATTAAGATGAACTCGGATAAAAGAGACCTCAACAGACCGTATATTATATTTGAAAATGGGATCAATATAACTCCAAAAGGATTGGTGGATTCAGAATATTCAAGTCGGGAATTGGGTGTCAATTACACGAAGCCCCAGCCTCAGATGCCTCTTGGACGGACGAAGCTGTTGGAGCTGAAATCCATCGATTCACAAAACTCCGCTCGGTCTCTCGCCAGCTTGGCCAGTATCTCGAGGTTCTCTATGAGGAGGAGCGTAGCGAGCCAACCATCCGTCAACTTTAGTCTAACAAGTACCGACATTTTAAGTAACATTTCCTTTCTCACGACATTGGAACTCAGTGATCAGGAGGAAGATCAACTAACGGAACGAGCTCCTTCCATGTTTCTGCTGAGAGAAGATCCACCAGATACATTTTTAAAACCAGACTACCACTTCAAAATTGAATTGATGGAAACAAACACTTTATTACTCCTCCACCTACCGTCTCAGTCAGACCAGTTGGATACTGATAATGGAAAGGAAATATTGGAATCCAACGAAATGTATGACAAATCGCTGGATAAAATTCGAGCTCTTTCAGACATAGCTGTCCAAACCAACATAACATTTAAGAAACATAGAAAACAGTATAAACCACGAAACGGCCGACGCAATGCCGCGGCCTTTGCTTCAACCTGGGATATTTACGACACATACGAGCGGCTAGGATTGAAAAGCGAACGAGAATCAATGATGAACTTGACTTCGAGAGCAGAAGGAAGAGTGGACAAGATAATAGTATCAGACGAACAGAAAGAGTACGAAAGCGTCTTCGATTTCTGTGGCCAAATATTTAACAGACGTTTTTTGAACGCTTTAATGATTGTAGAAAGACTAGTAACAAAGGAGTTATATCGCCCGAGCCAGCTTCTATATCAGGGCCTCTTAGTTCAAGACCCTTTTTTTGAGGGAATCAAATACAACTACACTCTCACCCACCTATGGACCTTCTATTGCAATATTATCCATAAAAGATGTGTCACTTCGATGTGTTGGAACGAAAAAGACAAAAACATCATCGCTGTCGGTTATGGAAAATTTAAATTTTCGACAAAGTGTGATGGTTTGGTTTGTATCTGGAACATCAAATGTCCGAGTACTCCCGAGAGGTGGTACGAATTTCCCCGTGATCCGGTAACGTTTGTGACGTTCAGCAACAGTCGATGGCACATACTCGCCGTAACCTTCTACAGTGGCGCTGTGCTCCTCATTGACATTGTGGCTCGATCTCTTTTGGTCAAGGCAAACAACCGTCACTTCCCTCTCTACTACCCGGTACGACAGGCTCGCTGGTTCCCTCAAGAGCAAAAGAATACCGTTCTCATAACATGCGGTAAAGGCGGACGGGTATACCGTTATAAAAAGAGCGAGTTTTTCCTCAGCAAAAAGATAATGACGTTGGGACGTCCACACGGCAAGATACACGGGATCGAGGAGCCCAGGAAGTGCTTCGCGAGAAGTGTGATAGCTAGCAGACAACCGGCAGCCGAGGTGTTGGTCCGGCATCCCACAGATCCTCAGGTGTATCTCGTGGGTAGTACAGAGGGATGTGTGTACGTATGTTGCGTCCATCACCGACACGACTACCAAGACGTCTTCGTCGCACACAATGGCCCTATCTATAACATTCAGTTCAACCCGTTCTGTAGCAAAGTGTTCCTCACATGCGGGGCCGACTGGTGCATCAGGATATGGGCGGAGTCAGTCTATCAGCCTCTTATAACTCTGGAGAGCGGCATGACGGCGGTGCAAGATGCACTCTGGAGCCCGCTGCATTCTACAGTGATAGTGAGCATAACAGGGACATTCGTGGAATTGTGGGACATTCGTCGGAGGATATCTAAGCCCATGTCTTCCGTACGAACTCCTTCTGCGTCGCACAACAATGTTCTACATTTTTCAGCGAACGAGTTCAACATCTGTATCGGGGACGCGGATGGTAACGTTCACGTAATGGCAATGGCAGAGATGCCCTTCAGTCCCAGCTACCAAGAAGGCGTGCTGGTGGATGCGATCCACGCGGCGCTCACTGCGAGACCTGACGTGCTCGACACCCTACGTAAACTCGGCCCGCCGTTTTTAAATACGGCACGAATGGACGACTACATGACCAAGCTGTACCGTAAGCTCAACAGATTGCATGAGACTGTCTGAAGTGTGTTCGAATATAATAAATACATTGGGTATGTTTTATTAATTGGGGTATACATTATTTACTATGTTACTTCGTCGATTTCTTGATATTTCTTCACTTTCGAGTCATTGATTGTCCCTTGTAAAATATCTACGGATGTTGGTTGTGTGGACTTATTAGAAAATCGTTGGCTACTTTCTCATATTGGAAGGAGACATAACGACAGGAATCACGTCTTTTTGTGCCCTTTTGGAAATCCTTTGATAGCGAATACCATATGCCACATGAGACTTAAGGCACACGGAAAAACTAAATGTGTTGACATTGATTTCAATCATGTCGATGGAGTGTTTACTAAAACATTGGTATTAAAAACGGAGGATTAAAATAATTGTTGTATTTTCTGGCTTTATTTAACTAATTAAACTGTCTCTTTGTAAAATTATATTTGTGTGTCCAAACACCATAAAATAATTGGGTCATAAAGAATGAAATATAAATGTAGTTTAGTATATACTCTTTAATGTAACTTAATTGTGCTTGTTACTTGAATCTCCAGTCATAAAGAATTGATAAAGTTAAAACTACTATTAAAAGGTACTAGGGTATTGAGAAATACCCCCGCCGCAGCAAACCTGCAGACTTGGCGAATTTCCATCTGCCTGATTGGATTTAAACTAAAATGTCTCCTTAAAAATATCACATTTATTCCCTATTAAAACAGAATTAGTTTAATGAGTACTTAGGTTTGCTGCAACAGGGAGGGTAAAAAAGTTTTTTTTAATGTAAAATATTAAAAGGTACTGTGGTTTAGTAAGAAATTAATGTATTTTCCAAATTTGATCAAAATATGTTCATAAACAAGCAAACTACAACAGTTGACTTATTCTCCATAAGAATAACATGGGAATTTTAAAATAAATTTTTTTTTTAATTTTCTCCGTAACAATTAGGCGCATAATAACGCTTCAATATACTAAATTATTTGTTTTTTAAGCTCTACAAAATGGTTTAAAAAGAAATTGTGAAATTTTGTGTTTTTAGGGTCAAAAATGAGAAAAACCTATTTTTACCCCATAAAACCCCCCATAAACCCCCGTTCCCATAGTCCGATCATGCTGGTTCGCGAACTCGTTCAAGTTTATCCCGCCTTACACCTTCAATCCAAATTTTATCAAAATCGGACAAAAATTACTCAAGTTATCGTGCGGATGGACACACATATATATATCCCATGAAGGGGTTTAAACGTTTGATTTCATATTACGCACCCATTCATGCACCGAACTATCTTAAACTTTACACAGTTTACAAAGTAGGTTCTAAAAATATTCTGGAAAAATTTCAACTCCCTAACCTTAGTAGAAACAAAATGGTGGCTTATTGACAAATTTACCAATGTGCTTTCTATAAAAACTACTTTCATGATTTATTATTAGTTATTTATTTATTATTATTATTTATTGGTTATTTGATTTATTTTTAGTTTTCCATTAGGCTATGTTCTAGTTTTTTTTTATTTAAAAGTCATATTGCCCTGGAAAGTAACAGTAAAAATATTTTATAAAACCAAAGATACCTTTTTTAATGTTTTTAAAGTAATGTTTTTCAATATGCCGCCATTTTGTTTCTACTAAGGTTAGGGAGTTGAAATTTTTCCAGAATATTTTTAGAACCTACTTTGTAAACTTTGTAAAGTTTCAAAAAGTTCGGTGCATGAATGGGCGCGTAATATGAAATCAAACGTTTAAACCCCTTCGTGGGACACCCTATATATATATATATACAGGGTGACAAAAAAGTCTGGAAACGGCTTGATATCTTTTTAACTAAATTCGTTAGAAAATTCAAACCTTTCACATCAATTTATATGTATGAAAACTACTTTTTGCAAGTATTACCATTTTTTTACCTTCACCAGGGGACGGCCCACGAGGAGTAGGTACATAATCTTTAATGTAAGCATAGGTTGATATGCACATCATTTTAAAGGTCTGGTCAAGTGGAGTTTATTGCCGGAAACCGCGTCAAAAAAGGTTGATTCATTACAAAATGGCGGCATTTCAAAGTTCTTGCGGAATATACCTGCACGCTAACTAACGGTGGTAGGTTAGTTCCGCAGATAATGACCCTAGGGCCATAAATGGGTAGGTTAGTTCCGCATTTGAATCTGGTGGCCCCTTAAGTAGGTAGGTTAGTTCCGCATTTATATTGACAAAGGTGGGTTACACTTCATTAGACAAACGTAATTAGCCTCACTAAAAGCCGACGTAGAATGAATATTGAACATATTGAAGTTGAATATCCAAAGATTGGATACGCTTGTATCCGATAAGTAATTCGGAATATTGATGATACAAACTCTACAAATTTTAGGTTTGGGATGTAAGGAAATTCACCTGTTTCATAAATGTTAACAAAAATTACCTTAGTAATAATACTGATTTGACTTTTTAGTAATAACGAGTTGTTGGCCCGTCCTACGTCCTACGTACGGGAATCGAGCAGTCCACTAAAACTGCATATAGTGTATCTATTACTAATTCAGGCATAGTTTAATCAGTTCAAAAATGATAGTAAAGAAAAAGCTTCCAAGATGAGTTAAAACATGTGATCATTGTTATTTCCCCAACCTTTCCTCAAAAAGTCGAATAGTAAAATAATTCTCATAAGTTTTTTTTTTATGATTCCTGAGCTTCGATTCTTATACAGCAATGGTTATAGAATCTTACTGATTTTCTATAATCAATGACAAAATCTCAGAGTAAATAAAATAACCTCATAAATCTATAGAATATTTTTTATTCAACCAGCTGTTAGTTATAACTAATTATATTTCACTAAAACAAACTAAATATTTTAAATACTGCTCAAAAAAATAAATTAAAACATCTATTATTTTACTATGTATATTTAAATAAACTTTCATTCTCTTACCGATTACATAAACCTATCAATGGTTATATCATTACACATAGTATAAATAAGTCAATTCTACGTATGTCATTTCATTTTCATCCAAAAGCTGAATTTGTGTCGAAAAACGCGGAATGTTTACAGTGTTGTTATTATACCAAAAGCTAGAGTATAATGTTAGCGTCGGCTGCTAGAATTTTTAAAATTTAAAACTTAATTTCCAAAAAACTGAAACCCTAAACTAAAATTATGGCTTTGACATTCCCTAGTTCTCAAAATTATCTTTCTTTCAACACAAAAATCATGAAAATCGGTCAAGTGGTTGATTCAGAATCGTGAAATAAAAAAACCCTATCACGTTTTAATATTATAGATAGAAGATACTGCACAGATACCGTACACACTAGGATTAGTTGTGATAATAGCTATGTAAAAAATCTATGAACATCTATTTTATGTCGTTTCAAAAATTAATGTTATTGTAGCAACCAATCGAAGCAAATTAAACTGTGACAGACTGTCAGTGCAGGATATCAGTAATAATTGATGAACAATAATATCTCTTTAAGAAAAATGAAATTTGTAATCAGTATAGGTTTAGACTATGGGTAAGACGGGAATAATTTTTCGAAAACAGTAAAAACAAGGTCAGATTCTGAAATATGATACAATATTTTACAAGACGTGTTTATTATAACTGTTATTATCAGCGTAGGTCTTTCCATGAGTTGTATACGCTTTTAGTAGGGTCTTTTAAACTCATAGAAAATTAAGACTACTAGTTTTAATATAGCTTCTGTTGTACCGGTACTAGAAAACTGCTCGATTTCGAGCAACAGGTGCAGTAGTTTTGTTTTATATTTTTAATTTGTTATAAGATGCTTACAAAGTTTAAAGTTTTTTTTTACCCATGACAGGTTTAGTTTACCAGTTATTAGCATTTTGTAACATATAAGTATTGCGAGTCCCATGCCTCACTTTAAGTTTAAGTTTCCTAAAATGATTCACTCGCTTAGCTTAGTCAAGAGGTGTCAGGTTAATGAGACATAAGACTGCTTAAGGGTGTTACTCAACGTGTAATGAACAAAAATTTAAATTTAGAAAAACAACAAAAGTAACAAAGTGTTACAACAGCAAAAGAAAACTTTGAAAATGCAAAAATCCACAATAATAAGATAAATTAATTTACAACGTTAAATTTACAAGAAAAGAAAATCAATTGCAAATTTAAAAGAATTAGTTACTGACAAATTACATGACTTGTATGTTTGACAAAACTTTAGTTATATATTTTATTCTTTTTACATACTGTTAATTGTCCCAGAAGCACACGCACCGATACACGCACTCCCAAACACCCGATCTTCTTTCTTCGGTGGCCCGTGGTGATCTCCTCGATTGTCCTCTCCAGGTCCTCCAGCTCCAAGACTCGTCACCCCTCCATCTTCTTCATTAGCCCTTCTCATTGGCTGATTACCGATAGGGTGTGTGGCTTAAAGGTTAACGGTGTTTCTTGGAAGTCAGCCCTACCGGTCATCGCCTAGCTCACATCAGCTGGGAAAGGAATTTGTAAATCGATGCTCATGCTACTGTTCAACTCTGTTCACACCAACTGGTCGACGAAGTGTAATGTGAACAGAGTGTCTGCATAGATGAGCACCGTGGGTACAGGGTTAATCCCCTTTCTTACAGTATTTAAGCAACAGCTGGTGTAGTGGGATTTTTAGTTTGAAGATTGCGGCTTCACAGGGCAGGTTGTTGGCAATACACAGTTTAATGGTACACACCGAGTTGATAATGATTTGACTGGCTGGGATCGGTGCAAGAAATATCTGCATCAGCTTTGATACAAAACTAGAGACACTGAAACATGCTACTTCAACTTTAACTCATTCAGATCTTGCTTATTTTTATGGATTATTTCGGTTGACTGGCTTTTTTGTACGCTTCACTGCTCTTTAGAATTTCAAGAGATCTATTGTTTAAGCCGTCAAATGCGGAACTAACCTACCAGATTATAACCCACCCTACGGGACCCGGATTAGTGTAGGTAGCAAATGCGGAACTAACCTACCCCCCTACACCTGAGTATGGAGGTTGAAAGGATTATAAAGGTTCGATGAGCAGAGTGACCGCTGCGCGCGACCGGTCTCTACCCTTGGGAGGCCATAAAACTTACCCTCGTCAAAAATCTGACCACTCCGCGCAACCGGTAGTTGCCCTTTTTAACAGCCTGATGATGATATCTTAATCCCGAAACCGGTCGCCTTTAGACGACGACAATAGGATCACTGACGGAAAGGTAACATAAACCATTTTATTAATTTGCCAAAATATGGACACCACTCATATCGTCAACATGCCCTTGTATAATTTTGTATTTACAGGAAATATACACAATCAAAGATTTTCCAATAATCCAACCTACTTTCAAAGGACCTTATGCAGTCACGAATTTGCATAAAGAACGAAACCATCTACAT